TTGAATCACTGGAAGGTTTAGGCCCTATAAGTAGTCTCACAGTTCTCATTCCTTTCTCCCACCAGATAAATAGTTTCCCTCTGTCCAATCAGGTTAGCCCTAGGATCACCACCTCGGAGCCACCAGGAGGCGAATAAACTCCCAGTGCTCATCTATTTCTAGGCATAGGGGTTCAGTTAATTGCATGACAAGAGTCCCTCCCATCAGGGAGTCATCGGCTTGCTCAAACCTCACGGGCTTGGACAGTAGTTTAGCTCACATACCCAGTTTCATGGCAAATGACAAGCTAATGATGCATCAGGAGCATCCAGAATCAATTAGCACATTTAAGTCTATTTGTGCTCCCGACTTAGGGATTATAGGTTTGGCGGGCAGTGAAAAAGGTGGGACATGTCGACTCACCATTGGGTCGTCCTCTCCTTTGTTGTTGCTGTCAAAGGATGGTAGAGCAGGATGGGTCCACCCAGAGTCCCGGCATCCTCCTGTGTGGGGTGTGTGACCTGGGCAACAGGTTCCTGCGTGACCCTGTTGGGTTTCTCTCTTGTTAGCCGCTGGGCAGGTTTCTTTCTCGCTTCTGGTCCCGGTCTGCTCTGTTGTTGGAGTTAAGGGACTGGACAGTTTGCTGCTCAATGTCCCTCCTTTCCACACTGGAAACACTTAATTGATGGGCCTGCAGGTTGCCTGGGTCTTTCAGCCATCACAGTAGTTGGATGTTTTCATGGGGGTGATTGCCGTTTGGGTTGCTTTGGTTTCGGCTTGGATTCAGGTGGGGGAGGCTTCTTATAACAGGCGAGCTGAACGTCTAGCTTCACTGCTGCCTGGTACCATTCTTGCAGCTAATCCAGTACTGCTCGATAGATGCAGGCCTGAGAGAGGTGGTTGTCTAATCCCTCAATGAAGTGATGGATTAGGGATTGCTCAGGCCACCCCTCTATTCGACCTGCTATCTTGCAAAACTCTCGCACATACTCCAAGGCTGGCCTGCTGGCTTGTTTTATTTTGTGGATTTGTTTTCCTGCTTTGAGGCCAATGGATGGGTCCTCAAATCTTTCTCTCAGTTCTAGGAGGAAGAGATGGGGGTCCTCCAATTCAGGTCTCTATTAGCTGTGGCAAGCTCAGAGGCTGTTGACCATCCACCTGCAGGGATGCCAAACTCCCCATTGCTGCATAGGCCTCAGGCTGGGATTCCCTTTCTCTTCAGGGCTGGAGGCCCTGGCAGAGGAAGACAGGGTCTGGAAGGCTGTCTGATCTGCAATGGAGGGGCTGTAGGCTCCTCTCTGCAGGAGTTGATTTCTGCTTCTCACCTCTAGCTTTTCAAATCTTTCCAGTGACTCACCTGAACCTTCAGTGGCAGACGATCTGATAGCTCTCCTCTGGTCTGCTTTTGAAATCTTTGAGGGTGGAAAGGCAGTCTCAAGGCATCTGGAGTCTCTGCTGGACTGGGCCTGGGCTGATGGCTAGATCAGCTCTCCTAGCTGCTTGGGTTCTCCTTTTATCTGCCAAAACTCATCTTCCCACAGCATGCTGTCTGTTGCTTCCCCCTCTGGGGTATCAGCAGTTACTGGGTCATCACCTTCAAGCAGGTTCTCTTTTCCCATAATGAAATTTCCTCCTGAAACTTTGCCAGCTTCTCTCAAGTCTAGAGTGAGCGGCTGGAGTTCAGGATCCCAGGTTGTTTGAAAAGAAAGCAGATCTTGGCATGATGTCATGGTTCCGACTAATGAAACACTTCAAAGAACTTCCAGACATTGTTTATTCTAAAAAGTCTTTAATCATGTAACAGAGTGTTGGAACAGCATGTAGGATGCTAAGATCTGAATTCCCCTCCCCTGAGCATATATTTTGCCAACATATTTCCCTCCCTTATTTGCTGTCATAAATCATGTTCTCCAATCAGTTTGAAGGGCAAAGGTTCCCTTCCGTTTCTGTAGCACGGGGTTTTTATTTTAAGTAATCCCCACACACATTCTTTCTCCTCCCCTCCCAGCATTCCACACAGCTCTGCATATTTTGTCAAAGCAAAAACATCCAATGTTAGCAGCACTGACAATAAGATAACCTTTATTATCATTTTTTACTGTGGGCACATTGGTATACATAAAAAATAAAATTTAGTTGCTTGCTTTCAAAAATATACACATTTAAACATGCTTTATATAACATGTGTATAAACCTTCACCCTTACATATTAAATAACATATAAATATTAATCCCTGACCGTCTTGAATATGTCATGGAAAGAGGAAGCTTTAGAGTTCACAAGATTAGGAGAGCTATTTGCAGAAGTTAAGAGAACTGTCAGCACAATGAGTGGTAAGCAGGTATTAATAATATTTATGTGTACTGTATAGGATAATACCTACTTCCAAAGCTCTGAAATATGAAGTTGACATTTTAAAAAAAATAAAACAGCAACGCCATACAGTACTGGAATGCTTAGGTTTGGATTTAAAGATAAAATAAATCAAATGTCAGACATTAATATTGTTCTTCTCTCTCTTCCAATAAAGGAGGAGGAGATGGTGGAGGAGGTGGATAGAAAGAAGAAGAGTAGTATTGAAGCATTTGTACATGGTTAGGCACATGATGTTAGGATCTGCCCCCTCCCCCAAAATGGAGTCCAAGCAGAGGTCCTGTTGGCAAGCTCTGTTTTATACATGTTCTGATTGGCACTTGGTCATGATTTTATCGACCTTTTGGTGTATTTTATTTTTGATATTTTATATTACTTATCTCATTTTATTTTACTTATACAAGCCCCAAACTCCCAACTTTACAGAAAAAAAAAAGATTACTGTTAAGAAAGAGAGTTAAGTATGTGTGTATATGAGATGGTGAAAATGAACTAGCCTGGCAATTCTGAACCAGTTAAGGCATCAAAATAGCTGAATATTAACCAGCTCCTCATTACAAATGTTCTTGCTGAATATTTAATCTCCTGGAACCCCATTAAGAGATTTGAGGAGCTATCTCAGCATTGGATCCCTTTCTTCTATAGAAGAACAAGGGATTTTTCTGGAGCAATGATTTTCAGAAAAACATTACATGCTGCCTACCATCTGTATTTATGCCTCTAATGAGGTACTCACAGATAAGCTTTTATAGGAATTCAACTGCAAAACCTCCCTCATATTTTTCTGGTTAAATTTTGTCCTTTAACTGCTTATAGCTTTGTTTAAGTATTAATTGGCTCTTTAATGTAAATGGCAGAAAAATAATCCAGTTTATTTTTTTTATAGTCAATATTGTTAAAAATAAGGAATTGTTAAAATGTCCTCCATCCAAATGTTAACTCACTGACAAATGTGAGACTTCTATTAGATAAAAGTGCATCATCTCCCTGTGATGCTGTGGGTTGAAATTCATTGTTGGAATGTATTTCTATTCCACAGCTACAGTAGTATTCAGCAAATAGATGGCAATATTTACAAGTGTGGATCTATGGTATATATTGTTTGCTCTTTTGTTCTGAGTAGAATTTCCTGTTACAGTAATAGCTGAGCAATAAAGCACATGGTGACTGTATTCTTTGTTTGTTCTGTGTGATGCTTAATACAAACAGAATTTCTAACACTGTGTCCAGCTGTTCCTGTTACCTGGACTCTATTCCTGTACTCACTGGTATTATAAATTGTTATATGTACTTTTATTTAGAAACAGTCTAGATTTTCCTGTTTTTCCATATAAGATTTGTGGGATTTTTTCCAGCACCAAGGAATATTGTGGTCTATAAACAGCAAAGCTATCAAAATTTGAATAATTCTCTTCTCAGTTTCCTGGATTAAGAATTTTTTTTTTTAAAGTTGGAAAATCATTTGGTAAACAGATACCAAGGAAAACCAATTAAATTTCAAAGGACATTTAACATTTCAAAGCAATGTAGGAACAAATTCACAATTATACTGTGAATTATATTATGCATTTGTTAATTTTTTCTGTACTTTTTTCTAATTTGTTTTCTGGTCTCCTGGTCATCATTCTATATATTGCAAAATGAAAAGATGATTTTGTTGTGTGTGTGTGTGTGTGTGTGCGTGTGTGTGCACATTTTTTAAACTCTTGAATGTAATGTTTGATTCGGTTTTATCAATTTACTGGTCATTGGATAACTATAATTAATGGTTATAACAGAATGCAACCATAAAAGCATACTTTATTTGGGCTCCTTTTAATAAAACAGGTAGTATATAAGAATTTGTTTTTTCAAATTCTCTTCAGTCACTATAATTCTGAGCTAAATCCAATAGTACATTTAGCACTAATGTTGCAGCATTTTTAGTTGATTTTTATTTCGTTCCACAATCCCCTAAAACAGTATAGGAAGTCACACTGTGAACTTCTGTAAATGAAAGGAATGGAATGTCCTTCCATTCTTAAGAAGCAAGATTGAATCCAATTCAAACATTCTGAGTAGACAAATTAGTTCACATAAAAAACCTTAAAGAATTTATTAATCTCTTTAATTTCCAGTGAAAAGAAAATGTTTGTTTTCATGAAGAAAGTAAATTAATGAAAACAAAAGGAAAATGTTATACATAACATATCCATATTATTCAAACATTTCTTATAATATTTGAATATCTTTTTAGATCTAATCATTCTTCATAGCAAGGGTAGTTATCGAGTAATGCATATAAAATTTATAACCCTTTATCTCTTGTATTTACATTTTTTTCTCTCAGGATAAATTTTGGAACAAAATAATCTTTATATTATTCACATCATCTACATTATTATAACATGCACATATAAAAACTTGGCCTATGTTGTGATGATACCAAAGTTAGAGGTCACATTTATAAAAGTGAATCACATACAGTTATCTTGGAAGTGATGAACTAGTGCTATAAGTGTTTGCATTGCACATATGCAATGCTGAAAAGTGACTATTGTACTTTTACCCTTAAAATTAATTTACCTTACTCTAAAATGCCACAATATCACAAATATAAATTATATTTCTTACATAAAGAAAAATATTATATAATTTAAATTCTTACCATTTACAATTACAATGATATCCCGAAAGTCAATTTCTCCTCTAGCTTCAACTCTTCCTTCACATCTGTATACTCCTTCATCACTTTTATTAATTTTAAGAATTTGAAGATTGTTGTTTGGCAACATGGCAAATCTATCTGGAGAGCATATAGGAAAACTATTATCCATAAATAATGGCAATTAGTAAATATAACTTTTGACATATTTAAATACTTCCACCACACTGTTAAAGTATTCATTAGCAAAACATTTTTCACAGAAGGTGTAATCCTAAAAGCTTAATTCTGTATTTTGCATTTCTTACATTTTGTGTTTCTAATAAATCAATACTACTTATATTCACTTTAGCAAAGAATTCCACACTGCTGGGTGATATGATTGTTGAATTAAAGACATGAAGCAATGAAAAGACACGAAACCTTGGATATTACTCTTTTCAGCCCAGACTGAGAAGTATGCAATTTGTGTCTCTTTTGCATTTAGCACAAAAAGTGCTAAAAGCATCCTAAAGCTATGACTGACATATCATTCATATAAAATCAAATGATAAAAAATGTCAAAGTAAAAAATAAAGTAAATTTTCCTGTTCTTTCCCAAATATCATTTATAGAGTATTTTCACAGGCTCAACTTCCCATATTGCAAAGTGGAACAGGAATATCTGTGCTATCCATAAAAAAGTGTAGATTTACATTTAAAAACAGCACATAATAATAATAATAATAATAATAATAATAATAATAATAATAATAAAGTTGGAAGGGACCTTGAAGGTCATCTAGTCCAACCCCCTGCTCAGGCAGGAAACCCTATACTATTTCAGAAAGTAGTTTTAAACCAGGAGAAAGACCCAGGTTTTGCCTGTAGTCTCCAGCTGGTTTTGTCCAGACAAAGCATGTGAGAGTGAGATAGAACAGGATCATGGGTCTTCATAACCCCAGAACGAAACCACTCAAGTTACTTCTGGAAACAGATCTATCAGCCTTCTGAAAGACCAGTTAACTCACATCAAATACAATCAATCATTAGGCAGCAGAAACTTGTCCCATCATACTTTAAGGAGAAAAATATAGCCAAATACACAGGGGTGTCAAACTGCCGGCCCATGAGCTGGATGCATCATAGCAAAACCACGCCCATCCCATTTCCGGCAATGGCAAAAAAAGTTGCGATATGTCATGACATGTCATGTGGGTTTTGACACCCCTGCCCTAACTAGTGAAGCTAGGTAGATTTCTAATTTACTTTCTTACAATAAAGCTATAAGGACAGAGCAATAATAGGTCAGCCATTAGCGTAACAGTAATGCAGTATATTTTCCTGTGAACTAAAAAAACCCAAAAAATGTGTATTAGCATTCTACAAGAAACATAAACCTATGGTAGATTTTCCACATAGTTTTCAAATATTAGAACAACCAGTGAAGTCAGTTGTAGTAGCCATGTGAATTCCACACAATACTCTCTTAAGTATGAAGATTATTAAGTGTAAACAATATGAATATGTAACAAAACATATAATTTAAAGAGTTACCAAAATACTAACTGTCAGCAATATTTGAGAGTTCCTCATTTTGATATAACCAGCTGACAATAGGTGCTGGTGAACTAATAACACGGCAAATGACTTGTACATCTTCTCCCTGTACAAATTCTTGAGGTGATGAGACATCCTGGAATGTGAGCTTTTCTAAGAAAAAATGAAATATATTTATAGTAGTAGATTATTATTTAATTTGTTAAGAATTTCAAAGCAGTTGAATCATTTATAATGAGTCAGCTGGACCATTTGTTAGCAAAAAAGGTTACATATAAATATAATTCAGAAAATCTTCCTTGATTTTTTCAAATATTTTAAAGTCCATATAGTTATGGACTTATGCATACAGAACAGCTTTCATAGATGAGGAATAAGTGATCAATGAAAACTATTACTAACATTTTTCAATGTTCTTAGTTTCTTTCCAGGGAAGCTGAGTTATCATTATGTTATACTCTGCTAATGTGTGTTGATTATGATGTATTTGAAATAACAAACTTTGTTATGGACTAGTTACCATACTTGGATAGCAAAGATCTGGATGAGATAGAGACAGCTACTCTCTATTGGTTATCTGGATATTTACAGCTTGTACTGTATAGTGTATGCCATACAGTATACAATGGACCTGTAGTTGCTACTTTACTGGATGAAATAGTATCATGTTTTAATACATGCTTTGTAATTAAATTTTCAGAGATTTCTCCTTAAAATTTCCAACACCATAAGTAGAAAAAGTTTGATAGTGCATTTACTTACGGTAAATTTCCAAAACAACCGTAGCTTCTTGACTAAGTCCTAAAGAATCAGTTGCTTGACACCTATATATTCCAGCATCTTCCACATTGGCATTATAAATGGTTAATCGTGATCTTACACCTTCTTTTTGCACCACCACTCTTTGGTTAGAAATAATCTTTTCTCCTTGTGGATTATACCAATCTATGCTCTCAGGTTCACCAATTACTACAAAGAAAAAAATAAAGAATTAATATAACAAATCCTCAAAAGATACTTAAATGTAAACAGCATTTTAATGAAATTAAACATTTTAAAAAAACTATACCAAACCAAACAGTATTTTTTTTTAAAAAAAAAACATAATAAAAACATATTATGTCTTATATAACACATACTGAAATTGATTTAGATGAGGAGATATGCAAATTCAAACATTTCTTTTTCATGATTAATCTATTGACTTCAGAGAAAGCCATGTTCTGCCATATTTTGGTTATGGTTCTTTGTTTTCAGAAAAGACCTGAGTGATCTCCAGGAAAAAATTGGACTTTTGAAGACTGCAGAGCCTCTGCAGATTGACCTCATATTGAGTTTATTCTTCTTGAAACTGAAGAAACAGCTCCTTTGTGCTAAGTAGCCTGTCTTTCCAAGGATGAAGAGATTATTGTCAGTACTTTTCTTTCTTAATGATTGTGGAGAGATCCAGTTCAATGAAGGAAAGCGGTGCAAAGTCAGGGGAAGAGGATTGGACTATTCAGCAAATAGATAACTCCTAGCAACAAGCAAGATACCCACTATATTTTCTTAATAAGAACAACCAGTCTAATGTTCTCCAAACTACTATCTATGGTGTCTTGTCAAGAAGACATGATTATTAAGGCAGACAGGAAGATGGACATGCTGCTGGTTATGGTAAGATTGTAATCTATCTGAAGTTTAAATCCCTGATTTGACTAAATATTTCTAAAGCTAGCATTCTTATGTATCCTAGTAACTACCTGACAGAAAACTATAGATGGCTTGTAAATGGGGCTTACCACAAAAGAGAGGCCAGAGAACTACTTCTGTGACCCCTGTTCCTAGCTAATAGTGTTTTAGTGTGATATTAAAAGGGTGACTTTCCCAAATATCTATAAAAATAGAGCGGATAAATTTCTTCTCTAGCCTCTTCCTATTTGCACTGTTAACTCCTAGACCTGGATAGTATAATAACACCATGAAGAGATTTGCTAAACAAAGCCTTAGACCAGAGGTGTCAAACTTGCAACGTCATGTGACATGTTGCGACACATTGAGACTGTTTTGCCATTGCTGACAATGGGGTAGGTGTGGTTTCACTATGATGCATCAGGCCCATGGGCTGGCAATTTAACATCCCTGCCTTAGACTATCTTCCTGATAATTTCTCTTATCACTTAAAATAACAGGCCTGATAAGGTGTTAAGGCTATTAGCCTTTTTGATAATCTTTTGTTCAGGCCAGCAAACCTTAATTGCCAGACTCCTGATAAATCTCTTCTCTTTCTCCCGCAGTCATGCTCTTTGGTTAATCTCAATCTCAATCACCTTCCTTTCCTCCCATTTGTATTTGGTATTTGCTTCTCCTAAACTTTAGTCTATGGTCTTTGCAGTAATAAAAAGATTCTACCTGCAAATCTTGCATTATTATCGATCATCGCACAATCAGCCAGATGTTCAGACTGGATTTGGCATTTTGTCTACCTATCGAGTCCTTACCCAGGACCTGGGATAGGCAGATGTGGGTGTTTGATGGTATTACAGGTATCATCGCAGGATGGAAGCAGTTCCTAGTAAGGCTGCCTTTTGCAATTAACTAATAGCGAATTTTTCAATGCCAATGGTGTTCAAGTGGTGCTCCAGTTGTTTTGGGATTGCACCCAAGGAGCCTATTACTATTGGTACTACCCTTACTTGCTTTTGCTACAGTCTTTCTATTTCTATTTGTAGGTCTTTGTATTTTGTTATCTTCTCCAGTTCTTTCTCGTCTGTTCTGCTGTCTCCAGGCACTGCCACATCCACTATCCAGACTTTTTTGTCTTTCTTATCGACAATTGTTAAGTCTGGGGTATTATGTTGCAAGTGCTTGTCTGTTTGAATTCTGAAGTCCCAGAGCAGTTTAATTTTATCATTTTCTATGACTTTCTCTATTTTATGTCTCACCATTTTTTGCAGATCTTCCAATGCACCATTATTGCTACTTTGTCATGCCACTGCTTGTAGTCAGTCTGTGCAATCTTCTTGCAACAGCTTACCAGGTGGTCCACTGTTTCTTCAGCTTCTTTGCATAGGCGGCACTTACTGTCTGTTGCTGTCTTCTCAGTTTTGACTTTATAAGCATTTGTCCTTAAGGGTTGGTCTCGTGCAGTCAGAATTAGTCCCCCAGTCTCTTTCTTCATATTATTATTATTATTATTATTATTATTATTATTATTATTATTATTATTATTATTATTATTATTTAGACGTGAACCTCAGTCAACTGAACATTCAAATTGATTGGCACTGATGGTTGACACAGGTTGCTGCTAGCATCCTAGGTATCAAGCAGGTACCTTCTTAAAATATAAGATGTTCCGAGTCGCGCAGTTTTTTGTAGCATTGCTGGAGTTATTGCAGGAAGGTGCAGTTTCTTGAAATATTTTGCAAAGTTTTTGGACATAGTTCCCAGTGCCCCGATGACAATGAGTATCACTGTTGTTGTTGTTTTTGTTATTGTTGTTATTATTATTATTATCTCAAAAAATCCATTTCTGTATTGAACAGTATGTTGTCTAGGTAAACAAGTATTAGAATATTAATTGTATAACAATAAAAGTATTTACTAATTCGTTATAAATCTTCCTCACATAATCCACATTTTCTCATATTTCCAACTTTCTAACCTCTGTTTTTATCATCTAACTATTGGTAAAATAAGCCCCATGTCATATAGTATTCAGTTTCTTCTTTTTCTTTAATATTTAACATTAACCTATCCATTTCTCCACATTCCAGTATTTTTTTAATTATATTCTCCTCTATAGGGGTTTCTTCATATTTCCAAAAATTGTGCATATACTATTCTAGCTGCTGTTAATATATGTAAAACTAAGTAGGTATTACCTCTATTATAGTTCCCTGGTAACATGCCCAATAAGAATATCTCTGGTTTTAAATCTATATGTTGTTTTATCATTGCTTCCTACCATAGGTGTATTTTATTCCATTTTTTTTTTACTTTGGGACATGTCCACCACATGTGATAATACAAACCTGGTATTTGCTTACATTTCTAGCATTTAACAGATTTATCTTTGTACATATTCGCTAATCTTGCAAGCGAAAGGTGCCATCTGTACAACATTTTATAAAGATTTTCTTTATACGCTGTTGACATTGTAAGTTTATAGTTTCTGTTCCACAGTTTGTGCCATTTATCTAATTCTATTGTATAGCCAAAATTCTTAGCCCATATTACCATTGTCTCCTTTACTTGTTCTTCTTCCAATTTAATACTTAATAAATAATTGTATATCCTTTTAATTAATTTCTCATCTATCCCCATTAGAATTGGATCCAATTCAGTTGGTTCTTTATAAAAACCATATATCTTCCTGTCTTTTTCATATATGGATTATATCTGTAACTGTGGCCACCATGATAGGTCAATCCCATGATAGGTCAATCCCTGTTTAATTTTAAGTTCTTTTGCTTTCTGTATCATAGTAAGAACATTATCCTTAGGTTTCTCATTTTGTTCAAATGGGCAAGTAACCACCATACTTATTTTATACCTTTCAACTTAGTTTTGAGAGATACTTCAAAATGTAATAGCTTAAACAAATCCAATATACTTTATTGAGGTGAATTGACTCTTAAATCCCTTGCTTTTTTTGTCTTTATTTGAGTTTGTTCTTCGAACTGAAACTGAACTACTTGATTCCACCACAAGTCCCTAATTGTCAGAGGCTACTCTCTCTTTAATTTTCCACATTCCTTATGGTTTATCTGTATAAATAAGCCATTCAGAGTTGTTTGCTGAGATGGGAAGATATAGAAACCAACCAAAAAAACAACCAACCATATAAATATATATATTATATTTTATGCAAATTGTTTGGTTTTATTCAAATATGAATTCAAATGATTGAATATTAAATGTTAGACACCTGTTAGGTTCTTAGTGTTCAGTCCTCCCAGAATTAGCATTATGCAATACTCCACTATTATGTCAATATTTATATATATATTGATATATGACCAGACCTGACAATTATTGCCTGGGACTTCATCTTTTCAATACCAAACCATGTCAGAAGGGGACTTTACATAGTGGAGAAGGGGAAGTGATATAATGGTTACATACTATATAAGCTTGGATGTCCTGACTCATTTTTTTTTATATCCCTGCTAATGTGCCAGTTGAAAAGTTAATTCCTAATATTATTTTGTGAACTCCAGCATTAATTAGATCACTTGCATCAACTATATAGAAACAGTAATTATTGGCCAATGGAAATATAAATGACTGCCTGCCTAATGGAGAGGTAAGTTTACTATTTTGTTTAAATTTAGTTCTCAGGAAGTGCTGCAAGTGTATTATGTTCTACACTGTGCTTTATTTTATAAGCAAATAGGCATTAAGACACATACAAAGCATTCACAATGTAATGTGTGCACTATACAAGTATTTGTAATGCAGCTGAGCATCACAGATTGCAAATCGTAAGTGCAAAAGATTATGATAGGTTGGTTTGTTAGTATTTCAGTATAGAAAGATTGAATTGATTTCATTGGAATGTTGAATATTACTATATTTCTTTGTGTTCTCAATTCATGCTGTTCTTCATTTATTTATTTATTTATGAGACTTATATACCGCTTTAAGTGCAAGCACTCTCTAAGCGGTGTACACCAGTAAGCAATGTATATATATATATTTACATTGCCCCCAACAATCTGGGTCCTCAGTATATTCATGGCAAACTTTCAGCATGATTACTACAAATAGAAAAACTGTCCTGCTGGTTCATTACTATCCAGTTAGCATTGTGCTAGGTTAACATACACTGCTGAAGATATATAGTACAAATAATCTGTTTCAGAAAAAATCCTTCATGGATATAAAAAACTCATAATGAACTATTCAAATATACCATTTCAAAGTGCTTATATAAAACTTCATTTTATTTTGACTTTTGAAGGATAATTTCCTGATCTGTTATCATACTTTTGATTTAAACGTTTGAATTCATTCTATTATTTTTTTACTTCTATGCTTACACAATGTCTAATGCTTTTAATAAAGTATTTAAAGAAGTCACTGGAATGTACCATCACTTTTCCAGTTAATATTAATAAGTATATTGATCATGAAGCTGATACAAAACAATAACATGTACTATACCTGTACAAGTGAAGAATTTCGATACACCCACACTGACTTCTACCTTGCTGAGGGAAATTGACACTTGAAGTGCTGTAAGACATAAAGTAATAGATTTAAGGTAGCCTACTTTAATAAGAAAAAATAGAAATTAATAAAAATAGAAAAATGCATACACTTACTATATACATTTTTCAATTATAATGAAAATTATAAAAAAATTGAGTAACTTTTATTAATCTTAAATTTAGTAGAATATGATCACTGAAGCATTATTAATAAAAATGCACAAAATATTGGAGCTACAAACTAAGTAAACTACATTCCTAGAAAGGCATACAGTATATTATCAATATATTATTGGTAAATTTTCAGTAAATATGTGTCTGTACAAAAAGCTTATATAAATGGCTTTTTCACAATTATTACAAATTCTTGAATTCCAACAATTGCATAAATAACACTGAGACCCAATTTCGGTACTAGATTAAAAATTGAGAAACCAAAAGTTCTCAGCTTCCCCTAAGCAAGAAAGCCTATTTGGTGGCTTTGGGTCTTTCATCCTCTGTCACCCAAACTACTTAACATGGTTAAGTAAAGAGGAGGTAAATACATCATGTATGTCACATGAAATTGGAAAAATAAAGGAAGGGTATAAATCAAATAAAAAATAAAAGACAACAAGTTAATTCAACTATTTCAACCATTCTTTTCTTTTAGGCTTAATAGACAAAGAATTGGAAAAAATGGAACTTTGTTATTATATATGCTGACATCAGCAAGAATGCTCTATGCATAAAAAATGAAATATACTCTCATTCCCACAATGGATGACTGGCTGGAAAAACTGGTGGAATTAGAAGGGATGACTAAATTGACTGCTCTAACAAAAGAAAAGAGTACAGACAACATTGTTTCCACTTGGAAACCACTTTTGGATTTTGTGCTTGAGGTGGGAAAACAAATGAAACTTTGACTTTGGGTTTTGCTATTAATAGGTTTATTGTTATTGAAATGTATATATTGTTATAGTATATATTGTTACATAAAAGTAAAAAGTTGAGGCCCATTTAAATGTAAATGCCCATCTCACCCTTCCTGTTCAGGGAAGTAATATTATCCAAGGTGTTCTCATTAAAAAGATTGAAAAATAGTAAGCAGTATTTAAGGCCATGTTGAAGGCAAAATAAATAGCTGAAGGTAATTCATGCAATGCCATTTACTATACCTTGCAATAATGCAAAATACCGTTTCTCCCAGAATACCCATACACCAGTTCATAATTTGCCTTTTTTCATATTTCATTTCTGTTTGAAGATACAGTAACTCCATCCAGAGTATGTCTTTTTCACATACTCACTCTTCCTTCATATACTGTATTTGTTCTGCAATTCTATCTCTGTATGAATAAAACACCTTTGTATTTGAAAATACTTCTTTCATACTCGTCACTAAGTAACCCACTCTTCCTATATTAAACTGATATTTGTTCTGATGCACTGAACTCTTATTTCCATAAAACAATGTGGAAAAAACCTATGCTTTTATAAAAAATATGCTGTTTTCACTTATTTTGACAAATATTCTTTTCTCAGAATAGACTGCATACAACCTTTCTCCTTTCTACCAGCATTTTTTTTAAAAAAAATCTCCATAAACTTTTCAAACCCTGCAAATACTGTATTCTACCAAGATATATTAACATCTGATTGTTGTAAATTACTTATTTAGGTAAGACTTGCAATCATTCATTCTATCTTCTTAGCTTTTGGTATAATAATTTTCAGCTCATGTGTTTCATTGCTTGATAAGATCTATATAAAATTATTTTAATCTCAGCCAAGAGGATGGCTTGACCTGTTTCAAAAAAATCAAGAAGATTTTTAATGTATGTTTAACAATTCTATAATAATACTTTCACACATATTGATGCACATGTTCAATAATCAAGACAACATATCTTGTCTTAGTGTTAAACTATTCATTATAAATTGATCCTCCACACTCACACAAACACACGGATTGTGCTTAGTGATAGTGAAGGGGCTTGCAAAAATCTAATATTATGAGCTTCACTGTTGACCCACACCATTATTCTTCAAAGAATATCTAAATAATAATTATGGACAAAAGACTCTGCATTATAGTGGAAAATGCCCACCACCATCCACCACTACACCCCAAGAAGATACTGGGGAAATGGGGAGGTGAGACCACCAATGCTTATAATAGGTCTAGAATAAACCTGGAAAATGTGCTTTCTCTGATGTACTCTGAGAAAATCACAGAAATGTACTAATCAGTTTTAAATGTCAAAGTCAATACTTGGCTATATCTCAAAACTTGATAGAATGATTTCAATTCAAATTTAACATAAGCCAATCAACGGCTTTGCAAATGCAGAAGAGGCTAACTTTGAATCATTATATGCCTACTTGCAGCATCTCAAAATAAACCCAATAAAGTCATATTCATTAAATAAGACTAGAATGCTAAAGTTTAAGATAAAATATCTTCTGGAACAGGAACATTTAGCATTGGTTTATGAGATAAAATATGGGACAGACTAATAGAGTTCTGCCAAGAAAATGCAATGATTATAATATCTTTCAAAAAGCCAGAAGATAACTCTACTTGGACATATCACAAAATGGATGGCACTAGAACCAAATTGATGATATAATCTGCAAGCAAATAAGGATAAGTCTATTCAGCCAGCAGAAGTTACAATAGCTCTGATCACAGATCTATTGTAAAATTACAAATTAAAGTAAGGAAAATCAAGTCACATCCAGTGATACATTGTCAGCAATGTTTCATACAGTTGTTCAGTTAAGATAAAAAACATATATTATGAATACGATTTTACAAACAACATCTAAAATGATATTTGTGACATTTTAAAGATGAAGAAAACAAAATTAACCAGAAATTCCAAAAGCAGAAGACCAAAGTGATATCTGCTAATAAATTGAAAATAGTTAAAGCAAGGTAAGAAGCAAATAAGTCATCTTTATGCAAATAAAAATAGAAAAAGCAATTGGAGGACACAAATAAACAGAAGAACTGAAAAAAAGTGACATCTAAATGGGTCAATCTCTGAATTAAACCAGACATTCTGGATGGTAAATCTAAGTGGAGCCTAAAAAAACATGATAATAACAAAGCTGCTAGAGTTGATGAAATAACTGCAGAACTTTATTATTTAGCTCAGTGATTAAAGTTAAAATGCTACCTGTTGTGTAAGAAAGTATGGGACTGAATTATCCTTTATATTCTAAAACCAAAAAAGGGTAATGTTAAAGGATAAGCAAACTGTTGAAAAATTGCATTTTTTAATCCCACATAGTCTGCTATGTTCTATTATTTCTTCAAACAAGACTTACTCTTTTTTATCTTTCTGCAGTTATTCTACTTTCACATCTGTTTCTTCGTCCATGTCATTTTCTTACCTAAACACACTCTTTTTCCTATCCCTCTGCACTATTTTACAATAATAAATATATTGTGATACTATTATCTCCCTTTTAAATTATTTTCAATACTTTTGCAAACTATTATATTGTTGTTATTGTTATTGACTCCCCCTCTCCCATAGATTCTATGTGGCTATATACTGTAAATGATACATTGTTAATTAGTTACTATTGCAATAGTTATCCTGCAGTTAATTACTACAACTCTCCTTGGAGATGGACTCACCAAATACAGTGGCCAATGCTTGCAAGGCAGCCAAAAGCTATCTAGAGTTGCTTGGTTGAGTTGGCAGCTATATAAATTGAATAAATACATGAAAATGCCTATAAAACTTCAACAGGGTCAGGGTTATCTGAATGTTAGGGGTCAGGTGTTCCATAGAGCAGATGTTGTAATGAGAAGCACATTTCCTGGGTTCTATCAGATAGTATTGCTTGGTAATAGGGACCTCTGGCATGCCAGCTCTATTGAATCTAATGGGACAAGCAGAGATAGCGAGTCCCATAAATAATCTGTGCTGTGAAAAGCTTTTTGGTAATATCCAGTACCTTGAATTGTTCCCAGAAGTCTATTGGAAGCTAATGCAGTGATATAACTCTATATGCGTTGCACTGAGGCATGATCATAATTATCCATATTGCTGCATTTGGAACCAGTTGTAGCTTCCAAATGATATACAAAGGCAGCCCCATAAACAGCTCATTGCAACATTTCAAATGACAGATGACTACATGAGTGACAATGAGCAATGCATATAAAGCCAGGAACAGGTACAGTCAGCGCACACTTGTAAAAAGGAGCTTCTGGCTATGTCTATCACCTGCTCTTTCAGCAGAGCTTAGAAACTGGAAAAACTGCCAACCTGTGTACAAGTTCGGCCTGGAAGAGTGTCACCCTATCCAGAAAAATAGATGTAAGGTGCCTAACATTGGGAAAGAGGGGCATCAAAAACTCATAGCCAATGGGTCTCATGAGGGTTCAGCTGTAGCTTATTCATCCCATCCAGGACCCTTCTATCCCACTTCCAAATACTGAGAAAGAATCTAGACAGCATCTTTTGGTTGATCATGTCCTATATACTATACATGCAAATGAATGCATATATTCATTAGCATACAGATGATAGTTTACCTGATGCTGTTTCCCAGGGTTCAGAGAACAGAGATAAGATGGACTCCAAGTAACCCTATAAAGCAGTAGCTTAGAAATTGATCTCACCCACACGACCCAATCAAATTAATCATTGTGCAAGTGTCTTTTATATTTGCCAGGTCAAAACTTAAATCTCTATGGTGATTGTTTAATTTTTCTGCTTATATTTAGGAAAGAGCATTCTCAAGAGTCCCAGGCTAATAAGGTTTGTTTGTTACATTTTAATGATTTGGCATTAAGTTCAATAAGTAATTAAGAAAAGGAAAAGCTTGAACTGTTTATCATGAATAGTTTGTGTTCAGTGTTGTATTTATTAGTCTTTCTATTACATATGTGTGTTGAAATGTGTACGTATAAATTGAATCAATATCACTAGCTTGAGCAGTGATTGTATCTAATGATTTTAATCAATATAATTAAACTGTAAATTACTATGCAAGTATATTAAATTCTTAGTCTGATAT